AAAGGTAGGGTATTTGTTAGAGCGTTATGTGGTGCCAAGGCCATTGTGTAGAGCGTTATCTGGTGCCCAGGCCATTGTGTAGAGCGTTATCTGGTGCCCAGGCCATTGTGTAGAGCGTTATCTGGTGCGAAGGCCATTGTTTGAGCGTTATCTGGTGCCCAGGCCATTGTGTTGAGCCTTATCTGGTGCCCAGGCCAATGTGTTGAGCCTTATCTGGTGCCCAGACCATTGTGTTGAGCCTTATCTGGTTCCCAGGCCATTGTGTTGAGCCTTATCTGGTTCCCAGGAGCCTTATCGGGTGCCCAGGCCATTGTGTTGAGCCTTAGCTGGTGCCCAGGCCATTGTGTTGAGCCTTATCTGGTGCCCAGGCCATTGTGTTGAGCCTTAGCTGGTGCCCAGGCCATTGTGTTGAGCCTTATCTGGTGCCCAGGCCAATGTGTTGAGCCTTATCTGGTGCCCAGACCATTGTGTTGAGCCTTATCTGGTTCCCAGGCCATTGTGTTGAGCCTTATCTGGTGCCCAGGCCATTGTGTTGAGCCTTATCTGGTGCCCAGGCCATTGTGTTGAGCCTTATCTGGTGCCCAGGCCATTGTGTTGAGCCTTATCTGGTGCCCAGGCCATTGTGTTGAGCCTTATCTGGTGCCCAGGCCATTGTGTTGAGCCTTATCTGGTGCCCAGGCCATTGTGTTGAGCCTTATCTGGTGCCCAGGCCATTGTGTTGAGCCTTATCTGGTTCGCAGGCCATTGTGTTGAGCGTTATCTGGTGCCAAGACCATTGTGCTGAGCGTTATCTGGTGCCCAGGCCCCGGTGCCGAGCCGTATTTGGTTAGCAGACGATTGTGTTGAGCCTTTTCTGGTGCCCAGGCCATTGCATTGAGCCGTATGTGGTGACCAGGCCACTGTGCTGAGAGTTGTGGTTCCTGGTTTATTATGCAGAGTCTTCTTTTTTTAATTCACTCTAACATGTATAACATGCCAAGGTATTTGCAGGTTTTAGTCAATGAAGTTGGAGAAGATGTGAATATTCCTCAGCTAATTACTTCATCGGGAAGCTGGAGAGGCCGGGCGCAGATGATTCTAGCTCTGCAGGGCAGGGTGAGTCCAATCATGTAGACTGTGTTTCTGTAGAAGTTATTTAGATGACCAAACTAGAGTGCAGTCATTGTTCTGTACTCCTTCCTTTTCCAGGGTATCATATGAGTGCCTCACCTCCTTCTCCTCTTCTGAATTCAAACCACTGTAATATTGTCTGTACTATGTGCAGGTCCGGGAGCTGGAGACCCAGCTGGGCCAGATAAGGAGTCCCACGTCAGAGCTCAGTCTGGAGGAAGAGATGATGGGTACATCCAGGAGGCTGCCAGCTCAGGAGAAGAACTTGTTTCGCCTGCGAACGCTGGAGAAGGAGAAGAAAGAAACTTTGGAGGTAATATAGAGCCTTGGTTCTCAACTGGTGGGTTGTGACCCAAAAGTGGGTCACGAGCCCGTGTTCAGTGGGTCGCCGCATGCCTTCCACTGCGCTAGGTGACAGGCTCCTCCCCCTAGTGCAGCACCTTCAATTCTCACGCCAAGCAGCCATTGAAAATATGCTGCCCAGTGCAGAGTGTCAGCTTGAGGTGGGGTGGGCTGAGGTTATGGCCGCGAGGGAGCTCCATCCATACATGCATTGCTGACAGCTCCCTCATGTGTCCTATAGAGGTGCCTGGACCGGAGTGACATCATATTCTGGCTCCCGGCACCTCTACAGGGCGTGCGAGGGAGCTGTACAAGCAAAGCACATATGGATGGAGCTCCGTCACAGCACAGCAGCCCACACTGGACCCCAGGCTGCGGATCCACTCCAGTTCTTGTTGGGTAGGGAGACTGAGTGGACCTTAAAAAAATGTAAAAAGGCCCCGTTCAGACTACTACAGTACGGGAGGTGTGTTGCATGGCCATTCATTTGAGTGGCACCCCAAACACACCTCCCATGCACAGTTTGCACGCCCACACCGGAACGCGTGGTACCGTAATGCCGTGCGTTCTATTGCAGTGCAGACATTGCAGACTTGGGTCGCAACTTAATGACCGAGGACAAATATGGGTCCTGAGGTTACACAGGTTGAGAACCCCTGATATCGAGAATACAATCAGATTTTGTGAGCTGCAGGACAATATGATGAATGTGTTTTATCTTTATTATCTCTGTACAGTCAGAAAACTCAGCAGAGTATTATAAAGTGCATAGAACCCTTCATATCAGTCTCTGCTTCCGAGGAGACTAAGCTGTTTTAATTGATAAGCTAATTAAGCTAGCAGCATTTTTGACAAATTATGGGGGGGAAACACACACACAGGGAGACCTTGCAAACTCCATACAAGTAGGACCCTGCCTACCTGGTGGGATTTGATCCCCGAACCAATTCATCTTAATCTACAGATCTAGTTACCAAGACCTTTTGATGCATGGGGTGGACAAAATAATGTGAAAACCTTTTTTTGGGGGACTTAATATGACTTTTGCAGGCTACCAGAGGTGACGAAAGCCACATGCCGGAGGGGAGACCCCACGCTGGAACCCAGGAATGGTGAGTATGATAACACTTACCTTTATTATTTAACTTACTAGTTACTGTGTGTTGATGGATAATACGCACACTAGCTGGCAAGCGGTGAAGATGTCATGTTGTAGCCGTCCTGTTCGTATTCTTTGTATTGCTTTTCTTGTTGTCTCCATGTGGTCTTGTTGGTATAATCCTAGAGGCTGACCGGAGAACATGACACTGTCAAGAAGGAACACGAGGATCTGAAAAAGAAGTTTGAGGCTTCAAAAGCCAGAAACAGATCTCTGTCCAATGACCTGAAGACCCTCAAATTGCAGATGACAACATTGCTGGAGAAAGGGAAGCATGACGATGAACTCATAGACGCCCTCCTGGTACTGTTTATTGTGTATTCCTAAAGGCAATACATACAGGTGAAACTCGAATAATTAGAATATCGTGCAAAAGTAATTGCAGTAAGTGCTGCAAAAGGGGCTCAAACCAAGTACTGAGTACATATGCATGCTTGTACTTTTCAGAGGTCCGATATTGTTCTATGTACAATCCTTGTTTTATTGATTGCATGTAATAATCTACTTTTTTGAGGTTGTGGATTTGGGGTTCTTGGGGTTTTCATGAGCTGTAAGCCATAATCATCACAATGATGACAAATCACGGCTTGAATTATCTTGCTTTGCATGTAATGAGTCTATCTCATATATTAGTTTCACCTTTTAAGTTGCATTAGTGAAATAAATGAACTTTGCACGATATTCTAATTATTCGAGTTTCACCTGTAGTCTTTTCAGATAGTTTTTATTTATAAAAGAGATCAGAATGATGTACACGGTCTTATTAATGTATATTCATAGTAGGGATGCAACGATACCAATTTTTTTGGTATCGAGTACCGATACTTTGCTTTTGGTACTTGTCGATACCGAGTACTGATACCGGTGCTTCCGCTGCCATGGAGCCAGCTTACCGGGCAATCTCATTACCCGAGAAGCTGGCTCCATGTTGTCTAACCTGCTTGATTGAGCTTGGCCGGGAAACCGGCTTCCCAGCCAATCAGCCACAAGCTGGGTTCCCGGCCAATCATTGGACAGGAAGCTGGCTTCATGATGGTTCGGCCGGCTCAATGCTAATTGACCGGGAAGTTGGCTTCCCGGCTAATCAGCAGGGAGCCGGCTGTTCGGCCAATCAGGAAGCTGGGAGGTGGGTCATTACTCGCCGCTCAACTTCCTGATCGCATTGGGAAGCCGGCTCCATGTTCCCCTATGCCACTGCCATTCAGAAGAAATCTTCCTCTGACCGGAAGTTCCGGTATCGGGAAAGGTAACGGAACATTTGGGCGATTACAAGTACTCGCCCAAATACTCTATCGGCACCAAAACTAGTATTGCTATCGGTGCACCCCTAATTCATATTTAAAGGAGAACTGCAGGTATTTAAAAAACGTACCCTTGCAGTGGGGCTACCCCGCACTGCAAGGGTTAACTGTCCATTTTGTCTAGGGGCACAAATAAAGCAGATCACCTGACCGCACTGATCAATGAGAAGCGCTTCTGACTGCGCTGACCAATTAGTGCTTGCAATTTGCTAACGAAATTTAAAAGCCATTGCGCAGGGCTGCACTATGGATTAGTACGGGGTTACACATAGTACACCTGTAGCGGTGGAGGGGAAGGACCGTCGTAAGT